AGAGAGAGAGAGAGAGAGAGAGAGAGAGAGAGAGAGAGAGAGAGAGAGAGAGAGAGAGAGAAAGAGAAAGTGAGGAGAGAGAGAGAGTACTTACCGGTTGGAGTAACAGTGGATGAGCCGGAGGACGGATTACGGTGCGAGCGGTATACGGGCGGGCGAACGAGCGGGAGAGGAGATGCGAAGCTACCAACACACCTGCCAACCGCAGTGCACCCCATCTCGTCGAACGGAGGAGGAAGAGCTATAGGGGTGGTGACTTACCTGCTATCTGACGTGCCGCCCGTCGGAGTCAAGAAGGGTGAAGTCGGGTTGGAGGCATTCTGTGGAACGACGGACTGCCATCTCGCCGGTTGCAACAGAGGAGAGGAGAGCTTACCTGGGAGGGGGGGCGCCGGTCGCTGCCGCACGACTTTAAGTATTGAAACATCGGTGTACCCACCTCGTTTCTGGGCGGGAGATCGATTCGGCTTTCTCACCCATCTATCGTTGGAAGCAGCATGAGATGAACAACGAGCCGAATACTTACCTGTTGGCCTGAGGCTCAACTCATCCGGTTGAACAGATGTAGCGGCCCCACCAGGTGTGGTGCTCCACTAGTGACAGAGATGGAGATGGAGGAAGAAGGGGGAGCGAGATGGCACAACGCAGCTCCCCACGCAAGACTCCAATGCACGTACTCCAAAATGTGCAAGTGAAGAATGAGACTGAAAACAAACAATGGCTGGGGTATACCCCAGCGGACTGACGGGACTGGTCTGGACTGGCTGGTACCGATAGAGGTACCGGCCTGGACTGGCCTACCCTGAATACAACACAGGCCTGTGAGAACAGGCCAAGGGGCTGGTCTCACAGGCCAACCCGAGGTCCGCTACACGATCCTCAGCCTGTGATGGATCGCCTAGATACAAACATGCTTCCGCCAAGAAGCGGAACTCTACCAAAGAAAAGAAAACCTGAGTAGTCAAGATGCGGAGCAAGCTCAATGCTGAGTCCATGCGATGCAACCTAGGATATAAAATGTCACAAAACAACAATGTTACAGCTAACAGCCTAAGTGAAAGCAGAAGCAACTAACTAACATACATGTCATAGGAAAGCAAAAGCAACTAACTAGCATACATGTCCTAGGAAAGCAGAAAGTAGTGACAACTAGATCCTAGAATGTTGGAGGCACTAGCCTCAGTCTGGTAACAACTGACTAGTGTATAAGTCCTAAGAACAGCAAGAGCAGAACAGCTAAATCCTAGAAATGTCGGAGGCAGTAGCCTCAGTCTGAGAGCAACAAAGCAATCAACAAGACAACCATACGTCACATGAGAAATGTGTCGCAAACCAAAGGGTGGGATGGTCTCTGAGGGTGGCGAATGCAGCCTAGGGGTCGAAAATTCCTAAGGGCATCCACACATAGTGACAGGGGAAAACACATGTCATCAGGCTCAATGAGGGTAGGGAACTGGGAGCGAACAGAACCAATGACCCTAATAGATAGACCATCAGGGCGGGTAATGCTCGRCTAAGGAGTGACCGCTATGGAGGGTCGACCATGCAAGGGAACAAGGAAGCCTGGTATACTAGGCGCACCTAGATGAAGCATGCGTTGCTGCCTAACTAGGGCGTGAGGGCCGACGAAGGGTAGAAAAATGATGGGTAAGGGAATCATGCAAATGACTCCTAAAGTGAGGGAAGTCGGAGCTAGATCCGTAAGATGGGAAGCCAGGGCAACGCTAAGGTCTCGATGCCTATGCGTATACCAAGGGAGAGCCCAACTCAGAGGAACCCGGCTAAAGGGAGACCATCATGCGACGCAAGCAGGGTACTGTACAGGGTAAAGTGGTAAGAGAGTGGCGACGTCTGAAGTAGGCAGAGCTGATCGTGATGAAGTCCATGAAGCTGCCGATGACGTCCACGATGAGAAGTCCGGAATGCTGTCGAGGAAGAGTCGCAACGTCGACAAGCCGAAGTAGCAAAACTGGAGTGGATGGAGTACTGAGAAGTCAAGGACGTGGGAAGGTAAGTTAGAGTCAATCGTCGTATCGAGCAGGACGACGACGAGTGTGCTGTGGACGCTCAGAAACATCTGGCTGCTTCTGAAGGTCTGCCTCAGATGGAGCAGGCTCGACTTCAGCGGTCTCCTTAGCCGGGGGAGAAGGAGGAGGGTCAGTGGGCTGAGGAGGAGCAATGAACCTAGCACGACGAGCACGGTCATAAGCATGCACTAACATGCGAGCGTGCTGCAAGTGCTCGAGGGGCTCCCAGGTAGCCTCCTCATCAGGGTTACCCTTCCAACGTACGAGATACTCGACGTGGGGAGGGTAATCGTTGGTGACTCTGCGGCCAATGATGTCTGAAACGAGGAACTCCTCGTGGCCGTCCACCATGATGGGTGAAGGGCGCTCGTATGGTCGTCCAACGAAACGCTCAGAGGGTCTGCGGTAAGGACGCAGTAACGAGACGTGGTAGACATCATGCACACGAGCCTGGCGTAGGTAGTCGGGCAGCTTCACACGAAAGCTGACCAGGCTAGATGCCGTATCAGAACCGACGGCCTGGAGGATGCGGCATGGACCAAAGAAGCGACGCCGAAACTTACGAAGCGTATCCGCTTCGAGCTGTAAGTTGTGGGCGTCGATAAGCACATCATCACCGACCTTGAATGGGTGATCCATCCTCGATCGGTTCGCACGTGCTGCCATGCGAGTCTGGGAAGCGACTGTGTGCTCATGTGCGGTCTTCATAATCGACGTTATGTGTGCAACCCAATCATCCAGCGCGGGACAACTCGTGTCGGGGTGCATCTGGGACGGTCGAAGGAAGTCCGCGGGAACACGCGGGTGATAGCCGAGGTCGCAATAGTAAGGCGACATCCCCGTGGCTGGCGAAACGACGTGGTTGTAGGCTATCTCCGCGTGGGCAAGATGGAGATCCCACTGCTGGTCGTCACGAACAATCTTTCGGAGAATATCTCCGAGAGTCCTGTTCGTGATCTCGGTCTGACCATCAGTCTGAGGATGGTATGACGAGGAGAAGCGGAGCTGAGTGCCGTACACCTCGTGGAGCCGTCGCCAGAATCGGCTGGTAAAGCGCGGGTCACGGTCAGATATGATGCTCAGAGGTAAGCCGTGGTCACGCACGACTCGGTCAAACACGATGTCGGCGACCTCACGTGCACTGATGGCATAGCGGCACGGAACAAAGCGTGCACGCTTCGTGAAGCGGTCGACGACGACCAGGATAGCATCATGACCGCGAGGGGTCGGA